ACCCAGGCCTTGCATAGAACAGGAGAGTCTTCTGTATTCGGGGATATTTGTGTGTGTGTGTGTGTGTGTGTGTGTGTGTGTGTGTGTGTGTGTGTGTGTGTGTGTTTGGAGGGTGGATATGCATCAGTCTCACTGTGTAGAGGGTGCGTGGTGGGTCCCACCACTTCAGTCACCTATGTTCTGGGGACACACGAGTGTGTTACCATGCCTGGTTAAGAATCACTGCTATACTGAGAGATACTACAGTGACCCTCCTGATCCTAGAAGACAAACTTAACACTAAGCCCTGAAGTTTACGATTTCATTTTTGGAGGCAATTTTGGTTCATTTACTTTAAGCCACATACCTTTGAAGGTTCCTACTTGACTTTATCACACTTTAAAACTGTATTTTCTACGACTACGGAGTAGCATAGATATAAATAGAACATTACAATTCATTTAATACTGAATAAGCTTCTCTATACTGTTTACCTCTTCAATCATTAGAATATGAAATGCATATGAATAGATCATGAACTACATCACATCACAAGTTATCCATTTTAAGCAGCTAATGGACCTTCTATTCTAAATTCTCATGGTGTTTGATTTCCTAACAAGGAATATGCTTGTAATTTAGGGTCAACGAACCTAATATAATAATCCTACTTTATGTCAAGAGTTTATTTCAGGGAGAGACAGGGAGAGAGAGAAGGACAGAGGGAAGGAGGAAAGATCATGTCCAGCTTCACATCCATGCCCTTATCTGACCTGCCATTTGCTCGGCAGGTTCCACAAACACCAAGTACTCACAGAAGAACAGACCCAGCGTATGGGAGAAACTATGCTCTCACAGCTGAGGTATGCTGTGCCAGCTACCAAACCCAGAAGCTTAGGAACCGCTAAGACAGAACTTTCTTGTGAATCAAGCCTGTCCTCTGTGTGTTGAGTCTCTCTCTCTCTTTTTACTTACGAACAGAATGACCTACTTTCTAGCTGTGCTTTAGGAACTATTTCTACTACAAATTAAGTTACTGCTATTCCTCTCTAACTGGACAACTAAACATAAACACCCAGTTGTAAGCAGCAGCTCCTATTTAGTCACTCTCTAAGGGGACATTACTGCTCAGCTTTATTATCTCCATGTATGGCCAGCAACTGCCTTCATAAACATATTCACGCTTTTCATCTAAAACCGTCTCTGAGAAGAGAACTGGAAGGACTTAAGCCTCTCAGCATTGTGAGTTGACACTTTCCTCACACTATTTCACGGTGGAGAACAAAAAAAAAAAAAAAAAAGAGTTATGTTGGGAACTAGTCAAGTAAATGTTAGAAACCTAAGACTCACAGCATATTTGATACATAAACTGGGGAAATGCAGAGAAAGTGATCAGAGAGAAGACAGTTATTAGAAAAGAATGAGTAGGGTGGTGGTGGTGGTGGTGGTGGTGGTGGTGGTGGTGGTGGTGGTGGTGGTGGTGGTGCACACCTTTAATCCCAGCACTCAGGAGGCAGAGGCAGGTCATCTCTGAGTTTGAGGCCAGCCTGATCTATAGAACGAGTTCCAGGACAGGATCCAAAAGCTAAAGAGAAACCTTGTCTCAAAAACCCAAACCCCCCCCAAAAAAAAAAATAAGAAGAAGAAGAAGAAGAAGAAGAAGAAGAGGAAGAGGAAGAGGAAGAGGAAGAGGAAGAGGAAGAGGAAGAGGAAGAAGAAAAGAAAGAGTAAATATGAAAAATGCAGAATATCAAACAGTGGGAAAGAGAGCAAGATTGGGGGGTAGGTCAAAAGGTGAGGTAGTCTATAACAGTGTACAAATGCAACCAGGAACGAGACATGGAGGTAGATGTTACTTGAAAAAACAAAGCGCTGTTCATAGAGACCAAATATTTTCAAAATACCCCAAACTCCATCAACCAACAAAATAACAAACCCTTCTCTGAATGCTTTCAAAAGTGTATTTTTAAATACATAGAGAAATACTGACTTGAACCACTATAAAATTTTAGTTTTATCCAATAAAATAGATACAAGAATGTCATTGTTAGAAAGAGTAATTTAGCCGGGTGGTGGTGGCGCACACCTTTAATCCCAGCACTTGGGAGGCAGAGCCAGGCGGATCTCTGTGAGTTCGAGGCCAGGCTGGTCTACAGACTGAGTTCCAGGGAAGGTGCAAAGTTATACAGAGAAAGCCTGTCTCAAAAAACAAAACAAACAAACAAACAAAAAAAGATTAATTTAAATTTGCTACCAAATGTGAGAATGGTGACCCCCAGATAAAGCTCTAAGTACACCTTTAGTAGCACAGCAACTAAGAATTCTCTCAGCAACAGTGAGAGAATTCTCAGTAGCACTGTAATTAAGGAGTTCCTCGGCCAAGGTACAAGCAATCAAATACACAGTACCCCTTTATTATAAAGAGTGGCCAGAAAACACATGCTAAATTTCTCTGTCTTTACACTAAAGCACTAAAATGCTTGAGGAAGTTTATTTTTACTTCTATGTTCATGTGTGTACACACCACACATGGAGGTCAAAGGACAGTGGCCAGAATCATTCTGCTTCTTCTGGCATGTAGGTCATGGGTTGCCAGGCGGTGGCAAGCACCTTTACCTGCTGAGCCATTTGACTGGCCCTTGGTAAGTTTTAACATGGGGCATCAAACATCTCTCTATTTAACAACACAGCTTAGGTGGACACCCAGACACTTGTGACTCATCTGTACCAAAGATCCCCTCCTACCTCACAGTTCATTAATAGCTGCATTATTGCTGCAGCTCCATCTCCAGCTCCATCCGCTATGGGCAACACACTGCAGCTGTCTATGCATCTCACAGAGCAGGAGAAAACTCAACCACCACAGTGAACAGGAGGATGTTGGGGAGCAAATAGGGCCAAAATCATTCAGGATTCCCTGTTCAGGTAATGTAGCTGATGCTTTCTGAGCAGTGGCAGAGGCAAATGTGGCATGGTAGCAGTCACTAGAGTTTTCTGCATGCTAACCAAGTGGCAGATGGGAAACATCTCAAACAGGGCTTAATATGCAGTCCAATAGCAGCTGCATCTACCATATGGGGTCCTCAGTCCTACGCCATCCCACTCATCAGAGATGATGTCAGAGACATTATCTTCACTTAGTTCAGTTGTGTCTATACATCTGTCTATATTTTTTTAAAAAAATCAAATAACTGAAAAGCAGGAAGCAGAAGAAAACAATGGCAAGAAGAAAATTTTTGGTCTGTTCATAACTTCATTTTGAAAGGAAAACAATCTCTACTAGTATTTGGAAATGACTTTCATCAAACTCAGATCTATAAAAACAAAGGACTGATACAGTTTCAAAGCTTATCAAGAAGTACAAAGTGATCCAGTAACAAAACTTAACAACACACAGCAAACCATTTTTCAATTGTATTCCTTCATACCAGATCATTTAGGTTATAAATGTCCTGCTTATGTATTTTGATAAAAATATTTAAACAGTTAATATTGAATAAACTAAGAATTAAGCCAAAGAAATGAATGCAGTTCTCCAGTCTTGACAACAAACTCGAGACCCAGCACGGCAGCACGTACCTTTTTGAGATGTCCTAGTCTAAGTTTGAAAATTTCCTCTTGCTCATGATATTCTGCCAGAGTCAGCCTGTCAAAAGGGAGAGTTTAATTCTACATTGAGATTAATGCTTAGTACTTTTTAAAAATTAAAAACAAAACATGAAAAAAAAAATCAACCAAACACAAATGTTAAAATACTATTAACTTGAAGCCTAAATCACGGAAGTCGTAGAACCTCTTTAAGATATGCTTCTGCATACATTTAACATTTCCAGCTAGAGTAATTAACTAACTACTATGCAAGAGCTGTGAGCACACTCCTGTAACTGCAAAGCCCTCACAGCTGCATCACTTGTGAGGGCCTCAGCCTCAGCAAGGAGATCAAGAGTTCCAGACCAGCCTGGGCTAAAAGCTGGACCCTCTCACAAAACAAAACCGGAGCATGAACTGTTGCAAGGCACATGTGGATGGGGCAATGGGAGGAGGAGGTAACACGAGGCTACAGGTGAGCAAAGTGAGGAAAATAACAGCAAAGAGCTTCTGGGTCTGCACATGTGCCACAGGCACAGGTGTTCCTCCTAACATTGTTTTCTAGTCTTTATTAAAAAGTGTGGCTTCCTCACAAAGTGGCCCAAAATTCTGTCAAAGTATATAATTTTTTAAGCTAGTTATATATAGGAAAACATTGACTTTTTTAGAACCTGAATTATAAAATATAACTAAAATCTAGTATTTGAAAATCAAAGTTAAAGCATGGTTTTTGAAGCAAGATCCTATCATGAAAAATTCCAAAGCTCCTACATATGCAGACTACCAGAGTTTCTTCAACCTGAAGGGATGGATATTATTGTCTTAAGTTTGCAGGCTTCTAACTTTAACATTTTACGATTACAGCTGTTAAAAATGACAAAAGCTGTAAATATTCTCTCCAGGGAATTTTGCATATAAATAGTTTGAGGTGTCCAAGGTGCCAACTTCAGGATTCCTATCCCAGGGACATGTCTTATAACCATAATGTAAGCTTTTTAGATTGTCTGTTGTCCATTTGATTAATGAAAAATGTTTTTAAGAAATCTATGGTGCTGGGGAGACAGCTTAGTGACTGGGAGCATGTACTGCTCCTCCAGAGGACCTGACTTTAGTTTCCAACACCATGGTGGGAAGCTCACAACTGCTTGTAGCTCCAGCACTATGGCAGTCTCCTATTCTGAGCTCTGCCAGCACCTACTACATACATGTGGTATATACTCACACACACACATAAATAAAAAGAGAAGGCAATATATGTATTTAGATCAAAGAGACTATTAATCAGGATCTCATTCAGAATAACAGAGCTAAGCAGACAATAACTTTAACATAACAGCATTAAATCACCCAGTTATTTTTATTACGTGCATTAACATGTTTTAAAAAAATTATCCTCGCCGGGTGGTGATGGTGCACGCCTTTAACCCCAGCACTTGGGAGGCAGAGGCAGGCGGATCTCTGTGAGTTCGAGGGCAGCCTGGTCTCCAAAGTGTGTTCCAGGACAGACACCAAAAACTACACATAGAAACCCTGCCTTGAAAAAACAAAGGAAGGAAGGGAGGGAGGGAGGGAGGGAGGAAGGAAGGAAAAATTTATCCTCAAGCAAGTCAATTTGTCATGTTACTTACCAAATCTTTTATGCATACATTAATGGAAACACACAGTTAATTTCTTCCCACATAAATTGTACTCATTATTAAATTATTAATAATGGATAATAAGTAGATAGCTCCTATTACCTATTATAGATAAACACAAGTTTATCTATTTAGGAGCTTTAGAATGCTCCTAAATAAAGCTATCAGTAGGTTTATGTTCATTTTTTTACTTTGAAAGTAAACAATTTAAACCTGGTAAGACTAACTCTTGATAACCTTCCATAGTAAGTCAGTGAGAATTTCACTGTACAGCTCAGACAAGCCAGGCTGGCCTCAAATTCAGAGACCCACTTGCCTCTGCCTCCTAGGTGTTGCGATTAAAAAAGCACTTAATGATAGATTAACAGGATCAGAGTTAGGTAAGAGAAATACCAGGAACTACCAAATACTCGTGTTAGAAGAAACTAATCACTCAGTGTTTTAAAGACACTGCTCAAACACAAGCCGTACTGGTAGTCCGATTGTTGAGAGGCCTGCAGCCTAACGCCTCATTACTACAATCCAGTTCATGTTTGCTGAACATTCCATCAGGAAGGAGCCAAGCACTGATTTTAAAAAAAGCTCACAATTTTAAGATGACAGTACGATACGAGGGAAATGAGACTACTCTGTCTTTGCAAATCAAGTAGGAATACAGAAAACATTTTTAACCAGAAAAGAACATTTCTCCCTAAGATCAGGGACAGGACAGGATGCCCACTCTGACTCCTCCTCCTCCTCAGAACTATACTGGAAGTAAACAAGAGCAAGATAAAGAAAGAAAATGTATCCTAACTGCAGAGGAAGAACTAAAAGTATCTTCACAACTCCACACGCTAAAAAAAAACCCCCAAAGGAAAGCAAAAGGATAAAAACCCAGTAAATAAGTTCTGTAATGCTTTAAGATGTGAGACAACACATAGAAACCCTTGTTTCTACAGACTGGAAACAAACAGTCATAGATGATTAACAAACAGTTCTCATTTCAATAGCATTCAACAGAAGTCAAATGAAAAGCTCTAGAAATAAATTTAAATCAGGACTTTAAAGACTTTATGTGAAGAACTATAAAAAGCCAGGTGTCTACCCAGCAGACTCAAAGGACCAGGTGTCTACAGGTGTCTACACAGCAGAGTTAGAGGACCAGGTGTCTACACAGCAGTTAGAGGACCAGGTGTCTACACAGCAGAGTCAGAGGACCAGGTGTCTACACAGCAGAGTCAAAGGACCAGGTGTCTACACAGCAGAGTCAAAGGACCAGGTGTCTACACAGCAGAGTCAGAGGACCAGGTGTCTACACAGCAGAGTCA